TGCCTAGGCAGGGGGTTGGACTAGAAGACCTCCAAGGTCCCTTCCAACTCTGCCATTGTATTGTATTAATATAAAAAAAAACAGAACCAGATTTCCACTAAAGACAGTCCTGGACTTATAACAGTTCATTTAGTGACCATTCAAAGTTACAACGGCGTTGAAAAATGGGATTGATGACTGATGGCTTTTCAGAGTTACGACCGTTGCAGCATCCCCATGGCCTCGTGACCAAAATTTAAATGCTTGGCAACTGACTTGTATTTATGACGGGCTGCAGTGTCATGCGATCCCCTTTTGTGACCCAAAGTCCATGGGGAAGCTGCTTAACAATCGTAACAGCTGCAGGGATTCACTGAACCACTGCGGCAAGAGAGGTCGTAAAACTGGGCAAACCTCATTTCACGGGCTCACTTAGCCACAGAAATCTGGGGCTCGATTGTGGTCGTAAGTCAAGGACCATCTGTAGAACTAAGCCAGTTTTTTTGCAGGGACAAAGTAATGGAAAGCAAGTTTATTTTTGTCTCCAGCGTCAAAGCAAAGATGCTCTCCCCGAGGTCAAATGTCATCAAAAGCACAGGCAATTAAAATAAAAGAGAAATTGAGATACAAACAGTGTAATCATGGCTACTTAAAAGCCTTCAACCTTAAAAGCATATATTTTAAAAGGAAGGAGAGGTTGAGGAGCGAACAGGATTCACCCACAACCCCCATCACATGAATAAAAGTTGCAATAGGAGATATTATTCATTTACTAGATTGTTATCTCGCCTTTATAAGTCACTCAAAGAGGGAAACACACCTAATGCAGCTAGTCCTCGGCTTGCGACTGCAATTGAGCCCTGAACTTTTGTTGCTGAGACATTGAAGTGAATTCTGCCCCATTTTATGGCCTTTCTTGCTGCAGTTGTTAAGTGAATCACTGCAATTGTTCAATTAGCAACAAGGCTGTTAAGTGAACCTGGCTTTTGCATTGAATTTGTCAGAAGGTCGCAAAAGGGGACCACGTGACTCCAGGATACTGCGACCGTCATAAATGTGGGGGAAAAAATCCCTGATTTACAACTGGTCCTTGCACTTCTCGGCACTCTAGAGTCACGTGATCAAAATTTGGGCACTGGGCAACTGGCATGGATTTGTGACCGGTGTACCCCATCCCGAATGGGGGTGGCCATTTGGGACCTCCCCAGCAGCCCTTCCAACCAACAAACGAAGCTGGATTCGCTTATTGACCACGTGATTTGCTTAACGACCAGGTGGATATTTTTTTTCTCTGAACAATCGTACGATTCGCTTAACAACCCTGGCAAAAATGGCTGGGATTCATTTAACAGCCACCTTGCTTAGCCACAGTAACTCTGCTCCTAATTGCGTCCGTTAAGTCGAAAAAAATATCTGTATTTTCTCGAGAGTGTAAAGGAATCGGGGCTTTCTGAGAAGCCACCCATCCTCTTGATGATTACACGGACTGAAATGGCTACTGAATACACACAATTTACTCTTTTATTCTATTCCCAGCAAAAGCTCAACGTCTATAAAATGCAACCAGAGCAAAAAATCCTGCCGAAACTCCTGACTTTATGCTGATTTCAGTTTATGCTGAGGAAGTGCTGATTGATTTATACAACGGGGTGTTGTTATCCTTCCCTTCCTTTCCCGCTACATTGCTGGAGGGTCTGAAGAGCAGAACGTAATAAGCTCTCATCCCTTGGCATTCATTTGCAGGAGGCAATGCCCAGTGGTGGGATTCAGCCGGTTCGCACCTATTCGGGAGAACCGGTTGATAACTTTCTAAGCAGTTCGGAGAACTGGTTGTTGGAAGAAATCTTATTTTATTTTTTCCCCACTTTACAGGGCTAATCCCC